CACTGTACTTCAAAACTATATGTGAATTTAAAATATTAGAAAAATATTTTGCTGAGATTGCAAATATTTTATGGCTAGTATTTTCAGTTCCAAATTTATAAAAGTATGAATGACATAATGACATGAGTTGTAGTTATAAGCCCATCCCATAATCACTACATGTAGATTTGCTGGGTCTACAGTACCTTCAAGGGCACTATATAAACCTAATGTTCTTTTAGCATCTATATATCATTTTAAATTATATAAATTTGTGTGAAATGACTAACTCATTGTAGCTTTAATTTTGTATTTCATGTTTTTTAGAAATATTTTATTGTATGCATGAGTGTTTTCCCTGAATGTTATGTGCACTATGTGAATGCACTGCCTAAGGAGACCAGAGGAAGGTATCTGATCACCTACAACTGGAGTTACATGTGTTTGTGCAGAAAAGTAAACCTGAGTCCTCTGCAAGAGCAGCAAGCGCTGTTAACTACTGAGACATCTCTTGGCCCCTCATAATGCTTAGTTTTCATTTATTTATTTTTTTCCTTTTTAAGTGTCCTTGGCACATAAGGGTATTTTTTTTCCCTTTTTCTTTTTTAATGCAGGATCTTGTTGTGTATCCTTGGTTAATCTTGAACTCATCTTCATGGCTCAACCTCTGGGAATATAGACCTGTAAAACACTCAAATCTTATTAGGGTTTCTAAATGATTTTTTGAGTTAAGTTTACTGTAAATGTATTAACTTTAACTTCGCAGTGCCATTTGTTGTACAAAACTTTTTAAATCTAAGACAATTTTATCAATCTTTTATAGCTTAAAAAAAATCTGGTATAAGAAAAAAATTTCTAGGGCTGGAGAGATGGCTCAGAGGTTAAGAGCACTGGCTGCTCTTCCAGAGGTCCTGAGTTCAATTCCCAGCAACCACATGGTGGCTTACAACCATCCATGAGATCTGGTGCCCTCTTCTGATGGGCAGGCATACATGCAGACAGAACATTGTATACATAATAAATAAATTAAAAAAAAAGAAAAAATTTTCTAACATAAGGTTATAACACACTGCCTAAATTTTGAACATTTAAGTTTCTTGTCCTTTTTTGTCTTTGTTCTACATGGAATTTAACTTAGCTTTTAATGAATTAGAGATTTACTTTTACTTTTCATATGCAAGGAATAGATGACCTATTGTCACTATCTGCTTTACCTCTGCTGATTTTCAGGGCTATGGAATAGAATGTTTTACATGTGTGTTCATTTGTGAGGTCTTCAGTTATATTTTATTCATTTGTTCATCCCTGTACTAATAAATGAACATTAGTTTTTCAAGTTCCCTTATACAGTAGAGCAAAGTCTGGTAGAGCAAAGCCTGATTTTACACACACACACACACACACACACACACACACACACACTCATTTTGTAAAATCTAAAAATGATTTTGAGATTGTGACTGAAATAGAACCTATGAAATGAATTTTCAGTCTCTACTTCTCCATTTAGTCATACTTTAAAAATGGCCTTCAAATGTGCCTTGTACTTTACCTCCAATGCTCCAAAATTACAGCTTGCTACCGAGTGAACCATTTTATCTATTATATTTTTCCCAACTGATACACAGGAGTACGGGTAACTACAAACTGTTTTTGGACAGAGTTATAGTTCAAGTTTTCCTCTCATCGGCCCACAGTTAGTTTCAGCTTTTCCTTTTCACTCCTGTAGATGTGATCCCATCTCACTTCTCTAAAACACCTGTGTATCCAGTTTTTTTTTTTTTTTTTTTGATTTTTTCGAGACAGGGTTTCTCCGTAGCTTTTGGTTCCTGTCCTGGAACTAGCTCTTGTACACCAGGCTGGCCTCGAACTCCCAGAGATCCGCCTGCCTCTGCCTCCCGAGTGCTGGGATTAAAGGCGTGCGCCACCACCGCCCGGCTCTGTGTATCCAGTTTTAAGAATGTTTTTACTTCAATTTATTTGCCTATTAATACAGACTCTGTTCTTTAACTGGGTAATAAGGTGCATGATACCAAAATACTCTGAAAAGTTGAGCCATCACTGCCACGCAGAAGTGAGTGAAATAAGCACTATTAGTTCATTTTTATTAATTTTTCTTTTTCAGGCTGGGACTTAATCCCACGGTAAAGTTCAGTTACTGTACCTGGCACTGGTAAATCTTGTTTAGGATTTGATAACAATGTCTATAAGTGAAACAATCTACAATTTCTATTTACTATTTTGGAAAATTTGAAATAAATTAATGTAAGTTTAAGATATATTGAATAAACCAGGCAATAGTGGGACGCGCCTTTAATCCCAGTACTTAGGAAACAGAGGCAGGCAGATCTCTGTGAGCTCAAGGTCAGCCTGGTCTACAGAGAGAGTTCCAGGACAGCCAGGACTGTTAGAGAAACCCTGTCTTGAAAAAACAAGAAAAAAAAGGGAGAGATTGAATACTTCCCCACCAAAGGTTCACATAATATAGAAATTACAATACAATAGCCTGGAAGCCTACTCTTTTGTGGACGGAGAATTTACAATTATTAATTCACAATCTTTATTGGTATTACTTTTATAGGAATTCTCTACAGGCTGTCTTATTTCATGGACTTGTATTTCTTGACAGGGAGTACTTTGTTTTGAAATTTATTAAAATTTCGTTGAGAAAATATAATTTGTATATCAAGTTCTAAATTTGTACCGATTTTAAAATTCAGTTAAATTACATAATGTATATACTTGCAAAGACATGTATATATTATATGTGTGTTCTTCATTTTGTATAAATGCCTCTTATACACTGATAAATTCTTTATCTCTCGATAGAGCAGTTTTTGTGGAGATGTGCTAAGGTCTCCACTGTGATGTTAAAACTTTCTATTTCTTTTTGTTTTTCACTTATGAAACATATGATGGATCCAAGCTGTGAAGCTGAGGACCTTGACCTCCTAATTCTGCCTCCCGTTTCCCAGGCATTGGGATTAAAGCAATATACATCCATGAATGGTATTTTGTGCTGGGGACCAAATTTAGGGCTCTGCGGATCCTTGGAAAGCACTCTATCAGCTGACTCGCATCCCCTCATCCCTGAATCTCTCTACTTTAGATGTGTTTTCCCCCAGAGCCAATAGGGTCCATTTTTGTAATCCTAGTTTATGATCTTTTGCTAAAGCAAAATTACTTCACTTAGATTTCCCTTGGTAACTGAAACAATTGGATCATGTGTAACCCAGGCAGTCTTTGAATTTGAAGATTGTTCTGCCTATGCCTCTTGATTTAAAGCTTGAGTTTCCATGCCCAGTTTTAAGATTTACTATTTTTTATCCTTTTTTTTTTCACTCTTCTTGAGTTGAGTTTACTATACTCCCTTCCTTCCCTCCTCAGCTGATTTGAGATCCCCCAAAATTTTGGTCCCATACCCCTTAGAGTAATTTTTAAAAAGATATATGGGACACACCTTTAATCCCAGCACTTTGGAGGCATAGACAGGCAGATCTCTGTGAGTCTGAGGGCAGCCTGGTCTACACAGTGAGTTCCAGGATAGCAAGAGCTACATGATTTTTTTATCACTTTATGAACTAGTCATTTCTCTTATTTTTACCACCCCTCCTTAAAATTCTTAAGCTCTTTTATAACAGGTAGAAGACTGCAACGTTTATTCTAAACTTGTACTTCCCTTCCTTACCCATGTAACTCAATCTCAGTGAAAGGAAGTAGGATAAAACCAAAAAAATTAAATTAAAAAACTTAAAAATATATTAATTTTGAGCCAGGCAGTGGTGGCGCATGCCTTTAATTCCAGCACTCAGGAGGCAGAGACAGGCAGATCTCTGAGTTCGAGGCCAGCCTGATCTTCTACAAGAGCTAGTTCTAGGGCAGGCTCCAAAGCAACAGACAAACCCTGTCTCAAAAAAACAAAAACAAAACAAAACAAACCCAAAGTCTTTACAAAGCACTGTCCATAATCTTTATGCTTTTTAATGCTTTAGAACAGAATAAAGACGTCTTATTTTATGGTTAAATACACGAAGTTCTAGACTATACTTTGGAAACAATTAGTCTTATTTCCTAGATTTTTCATTTTCTTTCTTTTCCTTTTATTTTATTTTGAAACAGGGTCTTACTATGTAGCCTTGGCTGGCCTGGAACTGGAACTTGCTATGTAAACCAGACTGACCTCTAACTCACAGAAATCCAGAGATCCCAGAAGAGTTCTGGGACTAAAGGCGTGTGCCACCATGCTCAGCTACTCCTATTTTAATGTGCAGGTTCTACTAATTATATAGGATATTTTCTCAAAGTAAAATAGTATTTTATAACACTGGGAACTGAGATCCATTTACATAAGTTAACTGGCAATGTTTTCACTATGGGTTAGAAAATGACAAATCTTGGGTTAGGTAGTAAATATTGGATAAAGAAGAAAAAGATACCAGGAAGTTCATGGTAAAATTGAAAACACTTGTGGTTTAAGTCATGGCTGGAGACTAAGGAGGCTTGAAAAACAATTACTTAAAATTTACAGATTATATAACAGACTGGCAAAATTCCTGAAAGGTTTCAAAAGTGAAAGAAATTCTGGAAAATATAAAACATAACCTGTAAAATACCTGGGGTGAAGGGGATGGGGGTTGGAAAACAAGAATAGGAGCTCTTGCTTTTAGCCCAAGCTGGCCTTAAACTTGTAATTCTCCTCCCTCAGCATCCTGAGTCCTGGGACTGCAGACTTACATTTGTCTGAATTAAGTCACATTCCTTTAATGTGAAATGTAATGTTAGTGTATGAGATGAATACATGGACTGCTAACTTCTCCATCCTCGAAATCACACAAATTTTGAAAATTTGAGATGCATCTTCAAACTCATCATTGTTCAGCATGGTGGAAATAGAGAACCTGATTCACCCAAAATCAACCATAGTTTAATATTAGATTTGGATATTCTTAGATGAGGCAAATAGCCTTACCATTTGCTTATTGCCTAAACTGGTAGCTTTTCCTTTGTTATATCCATACTCTTAGTTTTCCTTTCATGTGACTCACCCAAAGACTAGTTTTTAAAACAGGGGACAAAAAAAAAAAAAAAAAAAAGAGCCATTAAACACACACTGCCATCTCCTTTACTGGTCAAAACATCTGAACTCTGAACATTTCCATATGCAAGTGTAACAGTTTGGATGAAATGTTTCACTCATAATAAAAATAAACTTCATCATACTCCTTTAATCAGGACAGTAAGAAATGTTTGATAAAGTTCAAAATGACACATTCTCTTGATAGGGAAGTGGCAGAATTCTGCAAGAGTATATGGGACTTGAAATACTGTTGAGCCCATTTTGGAAAACAAATCTTACCATTGGTTTCTTTTGTAAAATGGGAGAAAGATTAACTTGTTGTGATCCCTTGATCACAGGCATCTTCTTTGTTTTTTTGAGACAGGGTTACTCTGTGTAGCCCTGGCTGTCCTGAAACACACTCTGTAGACCAGGCTGGCCTCACACTCAGATCCGCCTGCCTGCCTCCCAGTGCTGGCATTGAAGGTGTATGCCACCACCACGTAGCACAGGCATCTTTGGGTTCAACTCATTTACACAAGTTGTGTAAAGTTCTGTCCAAGATGTTCCTGACACATGAAGCTTCCAGTTGAATTTCAGAAAAGTTAAGAAAAGTATCTTCCTTTTTTGCCTGTGAATGTTTGCGTATTGCTGTACTGTTGGCTTATATCCACTACAGACACTGGTTCTAGGCCAGCCCAAGGGTCTTCAAGCATTGAAGGCTTAAAATAACTTTCCAACTCATTAGACATTCTTTTTTCTCTACCACGCCCTGATCCAAATGGTGTAGATGTCCTTGGAGAACCCTTTAGGAAAAAAATCATCAGTTAAAAAAACATCTAATAGTGATAATTGGTACTTTTGAGACTAGTTGAAGATTGGTGGTGATCACATTAAAAGCTGAAAAGTGAAGCTGAATAGTATATTCAGTTGCAAATCTCTTGTTTTCTTTAAATCAGCAGGGAATGGTGGCCCACGACTTTAATCCCAGCCCACAGAAGACAGAGGCAGGCTTGATCTCTGTGGGTTCGAGGCCATCATGGTCTACAGAGCTACAACAGAGAAAACCCGTCTCGAAAAACAAAACAATTACTAAAACCAATTGTATATTTCGTTTTTAAAAAATGCCCATCTTTTGCGTTTCTTATGGGATAACCCTGCAACTATCAAATACAAATAAATCCTGTACAAGCCGTGAACAAATTAATTGTATTCATTTTTTTCTTGAAAACGTTTTAACCTGATAGCTATCAAATTTCTACTTTTATATTGCATGAAAATTTCCTACACTTTTTAGCTCCAGCTCAACGGGATTCAGCTGGTGAGAATATTCAAGTTTGCAAAACACGGTAGATTCAAGTTTTCAGTCAAAGAGCTACTTCCTGCCTTGTGGACACTCATTTCGATGAAGGGAAATTTACACAACTCCCAATTCTCGGTTTTGTCCTTCAAGAGAACTTGGAGTAGAAGTCAATATAGTTCAGGGGAAAAAAATTGTAACAATTAAAAAAAAAAAGAACAATGAAACAAAACCAAGGATGGACATCGGTAGGAAATGGCAGTGGACTAAAGTCTAGACAAGTCATACAATAGTAGGGAATCATTTATCCTCCCCATAGGATTCCAGGATTATTTACTGAAAAACTGACAAAAAAAAAAAAAACAACTGTGGGGGCTGGGAGGAGAGAAGAAACAGAGGATTAAGAAAATTTGTATATGAATATGGTGTACTCGTTAAGAGCACATCTGCTGTGGAACAGAGAACGATAGCTCTGCCACTTATGATAATCTTAATTTATTTCTTTACACTTCAGTATATTTATCTGCAAAACTGGGCCAACGTAGTAGGTCACTTCACAGAGGATTAAACAATCCACGTAAAGGGAAGTTTAGTATCACGTCTGCCATCGCAGTAAGAGCTCGGCAAACGCTAGCTATTGTCTTTACCTGGGGGTAGGTCTGCTGCTGCCCTGGGGAGTAGCCGAATTGATGCTGGGACCCCGCGGGGGACCTGGAGTAGGAGCCTGGGTAGCCGCCCGGGGACGGAGACCCGAAGCGGGGCCCCGAGAAGCTGCCGCCATGCCGCGGAGAGTGGCTGCTCCCGTACGGCCTAGCCCGGGGCCCGCACGGCGGAGTTTGGTGCGGACTCCCGTACCCGTCCCGCGGGGAGGGCGGTCGCGGCCCCCCGCCCAGGGCACCCCGGAAGCTGCTTCCGCTACCCCAGCCTCCTACCCCCGGGCCGGGGTACGGAGGAGTTGGGGGTCGAAAATTCGGTCGGTGCATATCAGGAACTGAAGCTGAAGACCTCCGTCGACTATTCTCTCACCGGAACTCCAGCAATCGACCGCCAGAAAAGAACTGGGATTTCTCTATTTATGAAGCCTTCCGAGTGCCAGCGCAGTTCGGCACCTTAGTTCCGGTCGCACAAAGGTTCCGATCGCTCAAAGCTTCCGCAGGAAGGCGAGTAAATAGGTCACTCAATCCGGAGGACGTGGGTGTGTCTGAGAGGAGGAAAGGCTGTATAATGAGACCCACACGCTCGAACACTGCCTCCGGCAGCCTTTGGTGGGACCCACGTCCACGAAGGCGGAAGCGGAAGACACAAACCCGTCGTCCAGTCTTTTAGGCTGTGTGGGGTGTGGCAGAGTGCCGTAGGGTGGGAGAAGACGTATCGGGGGAGGTGGTCCCGGAGGAGGCGGGTCCGAGGGGGGGGGTGGGCCATCGGGCTCTCCGGAAGGTGGGGTGTCTGCCGGGCCACAGGCCGGAGTCGTGGGCTCTAGACAAAGGGGCAAGACGAGTGGACCCGGGGCGGAGGGCAGCGCGGAGGCGCGGGGGCGAAGACGGGGGTGGGGGTGGGGGAAATGAGTCCGAGGGGGCGGGGCTGAGAGGGGCAGGAGCCAGAGGGGGCGGGGCTGAGTGGGCCAGAGGCGGAACCAACTCCAAGGCGCGGGAGTGGGAGGGGGGAGGAGGGGGGCAGCTTTAGGGGGCGGGAGGGGGGGGGGGGAGAAGGCAAGAGCCAGAGGGGGCGGGGCTGAGGAGGCGGGGCCGCGAGGGCCTGAGGCGGAGCCAGCTCCGAGGCGTGGGGGTGGGGGGGAGTGAGTTCGGGGGGCGGGGCCCAGGACCTGGGCGGAGCTGGCAGAGGAGCGGGACTGTAAGAGGGGGCGGGGCTGGCCGGGGGTCCTAAGGTCAAGGAGGGCTGTCGCCGGCGTGCTCTCACTCGTCTGAGGGGACGATGCTGTGGACACTGGCCAGGGCGCTGGCTTTTCGGAGACCGGGCCGAGGCCGGGCCGGCGGGAGGGGGCTGTGGACCGGCCGCCTGCAGTCAGGTACCCTATGACACTCAGCGCCCCGTCCCTGAGGAGAGCGCTCTCGCCGCCCTCTCCCCTGACCAGGCTCGTGGCCGCGTTCGTGCCCCGCTTCTCTTCACCCCTACCTTTTAGTCCCCCCCCAAGTTCTGATAACTTAAAAAACACTACCTCCCGCCCAAAGCTGAGTTTTAGAAAGCAGACTGTTTCCTTGATAACTTAGCCTGTACTAATTGATGCTGAACTTGACCCCTGCGTTTCAGTTCTTGTGGAAGTTGACGAGAGTAGGAAAAAGATTTATTTATTTATTTATTTATTTTGAGACAGGATTTCTCTGTGGCTTTGGAGCCTGTCCTGGAACTAGCTCTTGTAGACCAGGCCGGTCTCGAACTCACAGAGATCCACCTGCCTCTGCCTCCAGATTGCTGGGATTAAAGGCGTGCGCCACCAGATATTTTTAAAAAGAAAAAGAGGAAAATTTAACCAAAACTTAAAAACCTCGTAATTATAAAGAAACATAATTCAGGAATTCCATCCTCTGCATAAATTCTGCATAAGACACCTGTCTCCATCTTGTAGAAGATGGAATTTCAAATTACTAGTTTTGTGGAGTTTCCCTTAGTTCTTCATACTGAAATCAGCTCTGGGAATTCTAGAACTCATTAAATTAGACCAGTGTATAGTATGGGCCTGAGGAGATTTTGTTTAGATTTTTGTTGTGTATTTATTCACTTGCTTATGCCTTTGGAGATCAGAAGGAACTGGAGAAAAGTGTGGCTGTGCTTTTCCAGGTGGGCGCTGGGAACAACCCAGGTCCTCCGCGAGGGCAGTCTTAAGCACTGAGCCCCCTCTCCAGCTCCTGTTCCCTGTGGTTTGCATTCAGCCAGAGCACCTTCATGGAAGATTTTGGCCTCTGTTTAGTCTCTGACATCTTCAGTGACATGAGTAAAGAGTATCTTTTCAGCTTGTATTAATGGAGACACACAGGATTTTGGGGTGAGGGGGGTGAGATTTTTTTTTTCTCGTGGTGGTGGTTTATTCTTAGGCAACTAATTCCATTCAATTTTCTTGTTTTGCCTCATTTTGTTTTGTTTTTTGAGACAAGTTCTCAATATATAACTCAGGGTTGACCACATTTCTTTTTTTTGAAGACAATTTGTATAATTATTCATGGAAGGATAATGTCACCATCAAGATACAGTGATATAATTAAAGTCTACAGACTACAACTTATCTAACATTAGTATGTTCTATCCTGACTGTTGTTTATTTTAAAATGCAGCGAGGAGAAGTCATGCCATACAACAGGAGGCTTATTGAAGAGGAAAGAGAAGGGTATAGAGAAGGAACAGAGACCAGTCCCTGGGGACAAGAGTGGTGGAAGAGAAAGAGAGAGTGCTGATAAGAGTAGCAGACAAAAGACAGAAAGAGAGAGAGAGAAAGAGACTGGAGGTGGATAAGACCTGCCTTTTATAAGGGAACATGGAGAAGGTGCACATGAGGTGCTCTTAGTGGCTGCAGCTGAGGGCATGTCCTGTCAGGACCCCAAGGGCAGGTCAGTACAGATGCCTGAATTCTAACGCTGACCAAATGTTTCTTTTCTAAACACTCATACTTACAATAAATAAGTCACATATATGTCAGTGAATCAATAATCTGTCCTACAAGGGGAACCAAGAAGTGGGGTGATGGGCATCAAAGTTACATTTATTATTTTTATAACTGGGAGAAGATATACAGAATTAGGTCTCAACTTGTTCAATATTATCTTTTTACTTGAATTCTTCTAGAGTGGAATCGAATCCAAGGTCTAATCCAGGCAAGGCAGGCTCTTTACTATTGAGCTTCAGTGCATCCACAGCCCCCAGATTGCTCATGTCTATCTACACAATACACTAAAATCTGACAGAGGAAGAAATACAGTGGAAAATTTTGCTGGGTAGATTTATATTTAAGGCAGTGTGCCTCCTACACATCTATAGGATTGTCCAAAACTGAATCTTTAATTATGTGAAACTCAACATATATTTTAATCTCTTTACGGACTTCTTTCAAATGATAATTTTGGCAAGAACAGTTAAATGATTTGTTTAAACTCACCTAGCAAGATCAGAAATCAGACTTTTTGAATTCTAGGGATTTTTTTCTCCCTTAGAAATACAAATTAATCATTGAAAAAATGAAATTAAATAAAAAAACCACACATGCCAGGCGGTGGTGGCCAGCCTGATCTACAAGAGCTAGTTCCGGGATAGGCACCAAAGCTACAGAGAAACCCTGTCTCGAAAAAAAAAAAAAAAAAAAAAAAAAAAAAAAAAAAAAAAAAAACCACATGCACACAAATTTTGAAGGTGGCCAAGCATGGTGACATGTCTTGGCATCCTAGATGACCAGAGCTGCATAATAGAGATCCTCTCTCAAAAAAAGAAAGTGGTACTGTGTAGCTTCTTTTGGATTTATAGATGATGAATATGCTCTTAGCTAGTGAACTATAACTAAAGCTAGGGTATTCCTAAACTTTAGTCTGGGATTTACAGTTTGACTGGCCAAGCTGGTAGGCCCAAGAACCCCCGACTGAAAATTTCTTTCTATACTGAGTTTAGTGAAAGCATGAGGGGAAAGGAAATTTGGTTGTTTTTCCTGGAGCTATAAAAATTAAAGAACTGTAATGATGGCTGTGAGTATAGAATAGCTTTCTCTTGGAGGGAAAAGGAAAGTAGGCATTTTTGTTAGCTAATAGACATTGTTCCTGCAAAAAGAACAGCACACACAGTGTAGGGATGACTAGCATTAGAAGACAGGATTGTGCACACTACAGTGCTCTCAGGATAGATATTGCCAGTGAGTAGGTGTTGTGTTCAGTTTAACATTGTATTTATAGAAATGAACAATGTCAAGGAACTTTCTGAGTTAATGAGGACTCTCTGGTGATAGTGTTTTAGAGTGTAGAAGTTAAAGCAAGTAAGAGCAACAAGATCAGGAACCATAAGTATGAAGATGAGTGGAGTCTGCTTTTTTCTTTCTTTTTTTTTTTAAAAAAAGATTTTATTTATTTATTTATTATGTAAACAGTATTCTACCTGCATGTGTACCAGGACACCAGATCTCATTATAGATGGTTGTGAACCACCATGTGGTTGCTGGGAATTGAACTCAGGACCTCCGGAAGAGCAACCAGTGCTCTTAATCTCTGAGCCATCTCTCCAGCCCTGAGACTGCTTGTTTATATAAGGTTGTAATCTTTATTTAGGTTATCCAGAAGTGTGTGTGTGTTTATAGTGGATATCAATTTCATTTCATCATGCTGTATCTTAAAAAAAACCTAAAAAACAAGAAAGACCTATTTGAGAGTCCAATACTTATAATAGCAGAAGAATAATGTTTAAGACAGATTGGGGACCCAGAATCCTGCTCACCTTGTCTCCTTACTTTGCCATCCTGTGAAGAGACTCTGGGACCCCTCTAAGGAAGTCCCAGATCTCAGCAAAAAAAGATTCTGAACACATCCATTTTAGGTTAGTGGCAGCAATCAGTGCTTCATGCATTGATATTTTGGTTGTTTACTGTGTCTCTAAGAAGTAAATATTTTCATGTTTCTGCATTGCTAGTACTTTCTAGATGGAAACTAGGTTAAAAGTTAAAAGATGATTGATTAGATAGTTTGAAGTATGTGTTTATAGTTAAAGGGATACAAACAGAGAGACTTGGGTACATTTTAAGGACTGCAAACTCAGTGAGGCTACTGTGCTCCTGGAAGGGTTATTTATATCTCACAGGGTAGAAGCTCAGGCATTAGTTCATTTTTCCACCCAAGCAGAATTTACTCCCGATTATCAGAGGAAGGTGGCACAAACTCCTAGACTCATAGTTTTTGGGGTCTTCTCTTATGATTCAACCCCTGTAATGTAGGTTACCGAGAAGTAAATATTTGATTAGCCCATTCATTAATAGGAGTGAATCTGCTTCAAACACGGTAAATCACTTAATATTTCCATTGACAAAGCAAGATGTTACAGGAACTGTGTGGTGTTTTGTTTGTTTGTTTTTGTTTTTCGAGACAAGGTTTTGCTGTAGCTTTGAGCCTGTCCTGACACTAGCTCTTGTAGAATAGGCTGGCCTCAAACTCTCAGAGATCCACCTGCCTCTGCCTCCCAGGTGCTGGGATTAAAGGCGAACGCCACCACCGCCCAGCTAGGAACTGTTTTTATTTTTTGTATTTATTTATTTATTTGTTTGTTTATTTATTTTTATTTATTTTTTAAAGATTTATTTATTTATTTATTATGTATACAACATTTTGCCTCCATGTA